CAAGAGCAAATTGCTCTGGTTTTGGCAAACCAGGAACGTGACTTGGTTTGTGGCAATTTGCCAAACCAGAGTGTGGTGAGGCAAACCTGCAGGACCTGGGGGAAGGTCCCTGCACACCTGTCCCTGCTTCAGCAACTGTCCCCCAGCCCAGCTCAGGACCCCGAGCTCAGCACTGCACTCACTGCACACCTCTGCACCACGTTACAGCACAGGGAGAACCCAGAGCACAGACAAACACAGCGGGGCAAGGCCCATTGTTCAAGAGACTCTTTTCTACTTTGCCAGCTGGGGTTAGATTCACTTGAAAATCCACAGATGCCATGCCAGGGACAGCTGATATGCAAGGAAATGGTGCCCAGCTGAGCAAGGACACGGCCTGTGCACAGACACAGCGGCAGCAGCACCCGCCCGCAGGAGTTAATAATGAAAGTGCTGAAGCACCAGGCTTTGGCTCTTCACGAGTGAAAAACTCCAACAGCACATTAGCTCCCCTGAAACATCATCGAGTAGCAGACAAATGAACTAATGACAAATGCTAATTCAACTGCCAAGAGAAAATCTCCCTCGGTGAGGTAACGGGAAGCACAACAACACTCACTGATCGCTCCCCTGACCTGGAACCGAGCTGCAGGGTCACCTGTGCCTTCCAGACACTGCAACGACACATCAGACTAGAAGACCAAAGACTTTTGCAAATACTTCAACTGTGGAATAACATCCATTTCCCTCAGAAGTACTGACGGGAACTTTTAAGTTGCCCATTAGCACCGATACACACTCAGAGATACCAGCAAACAACAGAACCCTCATTCCAAAGTAGCTCAGGCCTTATGAATTCTGTGTCACACTTGGACCCAAGTGTACACTTCTCGTGTCCAAGTCACCTCAAACTATAAATACCCAAGTCGATGTTTACATTCAGCTGCATTATCTCACAGAGCTAAAATTCAATTACATGGGCACTCTTCTGCATTTGGAACGAAACTAAAATTCAGTCTAATTATTGCTTACACACTCCTAAAGTCAGCCTGCACTCACTGGCAGAAGTTAACGTGAAATGCCAAAAGCCAAGCAGTGACCACTGAATTTAAACACAGGTGAGCAAAGAGGAACTCACTTGCACCAATGAGTGAGCCAGTGCAGCCCCAGCTCTGCCAGAGGGATCTGAGCTCCCAGCTTCTGCTTTTATTAAACACCCTCTCCCCTTGTTTTTGTTTTTGTTTTTTTTTTTTTCCAAGCTGTTGTTACTTTAAATTAAAGCTGTAGTTGCTGCTCTGCAGCTCTGTCCCCCAGGGGCACTTCCTGTTGGGTGGCAGCAGGTGCCTGGCCAGGGGCTTGGGATGACACTGTCCTACCTGGTGCCAGTCAGACCCTTCTCTCTACACTTCCTTCTTCCCCTCGGCACACTTAATGATATTATATTTAAATATGCAAGCGTGACCTTTCAATCTACTGAATATTACAGAAGCAGATCTCTCTCTGTACCTTATTTTTCAGCAAACAGAACTGAGAAAATACAGCCCTGGGAAACACACAGGTAAACAGAACACTGGTACTAAACAGTAATAAAGTCTCATCTTACATAACAACCCAAATTTAAGCAAAGCCTGTAACAATTAAGTTAAAAAACTCCAGACTTTATAAAAAAAAAAAATACAAACGGATGGAAATATTTTTAGGCAATTTTTTACAGCAGATTCCTTGACAGTTTTCATTCTTTTGCATCCACTTTGTAAGGCTGTACCACAGCCAGGGCACGGCAGTACCGACTGCACAACAGCTCCCCTGTGACCGGGAGCACCGGGTCAGATGAACTGCCCAGCTCCGAGGGGAGGGACACGAGCCCAGCCCCTGCACTGACCTGAGTCTTGTCCTGCAGCCTCCCCGGGGAGCCCCACCTCAGTGCCACGCTGGGCAGGCTGTGTGTGGGCAGCTGGCAGGGCTGTGCCATGGGGACCAGGGCTTTGCTCTCCCGAGGCCTGTCCTGCTGAGCCCTCCTGCTGAGCCCTGCCCAGCCCTGCCCAGCCCGGCCCGGCCGAGGAAAGGCTGCCCCGGTGCAGCTGCAGCACAGGCAGTGCCCACAGCCCAACTCCCGGGGCACGGCGGGGGCTCAGCACCGCGGGCACCACACACACACACAGCTGCAAACTTCGCAGTCGTGCTGCAGGAAGCGCAGGGCGCCTGCTCTCCAGAACACCCCCGTGCCTTCGTGCTGCCAAGGACAGCTCAGAGCACGGCCAGCTGACAAACAGCTAGAAACAAAACCACACATCTATAAAAGACTCCTGCCAGCTTTGTGTCGGTGCTCCTGAAGGGCAGTAATTACATACATGGCACTGAGGTGGTCACAAAACGCACGAGAAGGAATTCCACTCTGCTGACAGACTCCTCTGAATCGCAGCTGGGGGATAAAAGGGCCGGAGGCAGCGCTCCAGCGAGGCAGGAAATCCCATTTCCATTTTTGAGAGGGGAGCAAAGTTCAGCTGTGCTGTTTCTGGTAGCACCCAGCACCACCACGGGTCAAACCGCCGCCGAGACAAAGATCTTGACAGGTGACTGCACAAGGAAGACATTTTCATACGCTTTTCATTTCTGACTCTTAAGTCAGGTCAAAATGAATATTCTGATACTCAGCTGTTAACCTGAAATTTTAGGCAGCACGGCTTAGCTGCACAGATGCACGTTCTGATTAAAGGTACAGAAAGGGCATAAACAAGCTGCTTTGTCTCAGAGTAGAACAGTGGGGTGGGCTGTTGGTCAGAGGTGGCTCCTCACCACTCCGAGCCTCCTTCTGCGAACACAAACAGGGAAAGCAACTTTCTAAGAACGGAGGAGAAGTGGTAAGCAGCTTTCTGGTACCCTGACTCCAGTGACAAGACCAGGGATGAGTTATGACCAGGTAAAGAACGACAAGGAGGAATCTTTCCGTTCTTGCCTCTACTCACCAGACAACACCAAAGGCTCCGTATCCGATGGGTCTGTCCGGCTCCACGTCCAGCTGCTGCTGTGGGTGCTGTGAGTGCTGATGATGGTGCGCTTTGACCGCAGCGGCTGCTGCAGCCTGTACCTGAGCTGGGGCTGCGGCGGCCGGGCCGGGGGCCTGGCCCGGGGCCGGCGATGGGAAGTAGGGCTGCTGCTGGCCCGGGTTGAGCATGGCGGCGGCGGCGGCGGCGGCGGCGGCGGCAGAGGAGGCATGCTGCTGCTGCTGCACCGGGTGCACGGCCGAGCCCGCGTGCAGGTGGTGCTGCGCGTGGTGGTGGTGGTGCAGGTGAGGAGGAGGGAGGTGAGGAAGGTGGTGGTGGTGGTGGTGGTGGTGACCCGCTGCTGCCGCAGACGTACCGCCATTGTAAGCCGCCATCATTTTTGCGTTGGCTGTTGTGCCACAAAGAGACATTCAACAAAAAAGAAAAATGCCCTTTGATTGGATGACAACTGGGTCAAGCTGTCGTTTGGCCATAAAAATTAAAATCTGCTACACTTTAAAAGTTGGGTTTCATCGTACACGGCCCACCTTTAAAAACATGGAGCTCCACTGGCCTTATCTCCTGGCGAAGCCAAACCACTCGGGGAGTCTCTTCATGTGTGCGAGCGCCAACCCCTGCCCCAGCGTCCAGCCGGGCTTGGCTACTCCAACTCCATCCTTGGGCAGCTGCCTTGGGGCCGGCCTGGGCTTTCTCCTTCACTTTGGGTTTTTTTGTCGTTTTTCTTGTTATAGAAATTAAACACCGTGATCAATCCCCCTTCCCTCCGGAGGGAGGGCTCGGAGCCTCTGCCCTGAACACCCCGCGAGGGCCGGCCAGCCTAGCCCTGCCATTCCCACACCCTCTCCATGGATCCCCCGAACCTCCCTGAGCCCGGCCACCTCCTACATCGCTCCCTCCTTCCGGGCACCTGCTCCCTCACGGCACCAACAACTCGGGAGTTTGTAACTTTTCCTTGAAGGCCTGAAACACACACAAGGACCAAAAGAAAGTGAAGGGGGGCGGCGGGGCGAGGAGAGGGGGGCGAAAAGAAGATAAAAACAGA